CCTATTAATGAACGTTTACCACCTTAGCTCAAGGTCTGAGCTAGAAGTCTAGAGATTGACATGCTAGAAGTTCTAGAAGTTAAGGCAGCACTAACTGGAGCATATTGAGCTGGCTGGATCGCCTGCTCTCTCCGCTCTCCGTGAGCTTGGGGTGGAGAAGAAGTCACTGGCTTGGAATCCTGGACCTGTGGCTCCGGGCTGTCGATGGTATCGCCCCACCTTCCTGCTACTCACTCCTCGCCCGCTGGCTCGCCCGCTCGCATTGCGCCATGTCTGGTCCAACAACATTTTCCCATCCTGATCTCAGAATTTGTGTTGTGTGATTCTGAAGTTCTTGGAAGCAGCTTTCCATCTTTCTAATGAATGAAAGCACAGTTAGAGGCAGTGCTCGAAGTGGCAAAACAAAACAACAGCCAGCTCTCCAGACCTTTTGAGCGTCCGCTCTTCAGTGTGAAAGTGCATCACCACGTGCTGACGGAAGGAGCCGTGGCACAGTGGTCAAGCACTCAGCCGCTCTGCTGGCAGTCACTTCCAGGAATCTCCTAGTCTAGTGCAGTCTCCCACTAGAGAGGACCGGTAGACCGGGCTCCTCTGGAAAGGCCATCCGACCAGAAGGCCGCTGACTCGGCATGTTGGCACCAGGCTGCTCTTGGGGGGATGAGGTGGATGCTTTTGTTTTGCTCGATGGAGAAAGCCTTTCTGTGATTTGCCATCTTTGAAAATTTCTAGAAGAAACTGTCAGAGAGCTTGCCACCACTCTCTGGATTTTCACGTTCATTCTTTTCCCTAAGTTTCCAGATAGCCAGCCACTAAGGCGCCCTGCGCTGGTGCAGGTGCTGCCTCTGCCCTTCGAGCTGTCAGCCCTGCATGCTGATGTGCTGTCTACCTGCACGAGTCTGTTGACAGACCTTTGGAGCCTTTGCTGCGTCAGCATTTGCCAGCAAACCCGGAGCTGTTTCAAGTCGCTTTATATTAAAATAGACGGGAGCCCCCCTTTTTTCCTGCACTGATCAGGTTTCCTTGGGCGGTGGTGGGGCCTGGGAGTGACATTCCAACCTCTGAAGGAATGATGTCACTCCTTTGCCAGTGCTTTTGACACCACTCACTTGCTCGCATTCCAGACGTCTCAGATTGTGCTGTTGTTGGCTGTGTAAACAAGTATGGAGCCCCGTGCCCAGCTCTGTAGAACTGGACCTCTGAGTGGACCATCAGCTGCCAGGCAGGGGCAGCGCTGCCGGCCATGTGGTCTGCTACCCGAGGGGACAGCAGGGTGCATTGTGATCAGAAGGTGGAGCCCATGACCCGTTCAATGAGGCGAAGGTCAGTGAGCCGGGTCCCTCTCTGACTAGAGAGCAGGTTTGCTGGGAGCTATTTGTCCATCATCTGCCTGACGTTGGGTCAAAGGTCAGTGCTCTCTGGTGTTGCTGGCGTTGCCTGTACCTTGTCTTCTGTCTTCAGATCTCCACTCCCAACGTGGAGGTGTCTTCTTGAATCGGGGATTCCTGTGGGAGGTGGCATGGTAAGCAAGCCCAGGCAGCAGTTTGATTTCCGTTCTCGTGCTTGACGGAGCCTGTTAGCACGAAGCGTCGTGCTTTGACCTGTGGACCGAGCACGTCCTCAGGGCGAGGTGTTGGCGGGGAAGAAATGTTCCATTTGAAGCTGCCATGTTCCCCAGGCTACTTGTCCTCTTCCTGGCTGTAGCCTGCCAGGGAGGAACCGTCTTGGTGCTGTGCTTCACCCCACTATGACTGGACGTCCAGGGCGAGCTAGGACAGTGTGGCTAAGGCTTTCCACAGAGCCCACTCAGTCCGGGCCTGTGCTAGCATGACTGTAGGGGAGACTTCTGTTGTGACAGTTCACGAGGAAGACACACAGACCGCCCACAGCTCTGGAGCCATCATCTTTTGGGCGTAGTCACCTGTATTAAAATCACTGGGACGCAAGAGTCTGAGTGTTACACACATCAGGAAGTTATATCAAGTGGGAATGCTTACTTTGAAGTCATGGGACTAGGATGTGTGTATGCGTGTGTGTGCGTGTGTGTGCGCGCGCGCGTGTGAGAGAGCGAGCTCACATGCTGGCTGAGTGTACATATTTCAGAGGGAACATGCTCTAGACTAGGATGGCTCCTAGCCAATTTTATACTTAAAACTGAAGAGTAAACTGCCACTCTTGGCAGTTGCCACTTCTTACGAACGAATGCCTTGCACATTTCCGCTTTTTAAAATCCCGAGGTCATTGGCCTTAAGGACCGATTGCCCACCCTTCAGAAAGAGCAGCGCTCCCTGGGACATGTCCTAGGTGTTGTAACCTCCCGCTCCATGCGCAAGTACCACTGAGCCAATAGGGACGTCCTCTCTCAAAAATTCACGGACTCAGTTTCCTCAGGAAGGAAGTTTCCTTTTGGAGCAGAGTTCCTGGGATGCAGTGTGGATTGATGGGCGAGGGGAGGGTCCCAGCGCTGGAGCCTCGTGTCTCCCTGTGCACCAGTTGAAACCTCAAGGTCGAATCTCTGAGCTGCTGCTTCTTGGCTCGGCCTTGTTCTCCATCTCAAAAGGGCCCGTTCTAGTTCCCGCTCCAGCCAAGGCTTGTGCACCCTGCTAGGACAGGTCCGGGAGCTTCTGGACTGGGCCTGAGCCCTCACCCTGGAATCCTGCACATACTGGAGTTCAGTGGGTGGGGTGCCACATACTGTGTTCAGTCCCTTGACACTTTCTTTGGCCCCTTGTTAGCACTGCTTTGTTTTATAACTGGAAGCACTTCATGATTGTTATGTTTGTTCAGTGTCGCCCGAAGGGTATCGAAAGTCAGGGAAGTTAGGTTTGTTTCTTGCGTGTTTTGGACCATCAGGCAGGTTTGGAGAAGGGATACATGGATTGTTTAGAGAGCTGTTCTTCTAGGCTCCCTTTTAGGCCGGGATGTTTTAAAGTAACATACAAGCTTTTAATATTGTGCTGTGTAGCAATTGATGAATTTTTTTTGATGATCTGCAATTGATAGATTATATTCAACTTTGTATAAAGTACCCATCTTTAAGTGTCTTTCTGTTTAGGCATTCTTACTGTCTACACCATGTAAGGGACATAGTCCCTTGTAAGACATTTCATGATCCCTCCTCTCCCCTCCACCCCAGGGCAGTATTACCAATGGTCTTTATTATGTACATGACACCCGTTGCTTAATGCAGTATAGTAGCATATTAATGAAATTAGCTAAGATGCAAATATGTAAAAATAGAAGAGAGATGAATGGGATTGCTTTTCGATGACCAAGAATTAACGCATTCTCGTTGGCTGTGGGTCTTTTGCTGATGGCAGTCATCGTCTCGGCTTCACATCTGCCTTCCGGCAGTTTCCGTCATCTTTGCGGATGGAACTCCCTCACCGCCATCGGTCCATGCCGACTCATAGTGCCCTTGTTGGACAGGGAGAACTGTCTCTCTGGACGGGAGTAGAAAGCCTCTTCTTTCTCCTGTGGAAGAGCGGGGTGGTTTTGAACTGCGGAGCTTGAGGTTGGCAGCCCAACTCGTAACCACTACACGCAGCCACTACTTCTCTGTGGGTAGGAAGGACTAAGTCTGAGCCCCAGTCCCACCATTTTGCTACTGGTTAGCTTTGCGTTTTGAGGTGTATAAACTTTTGACAAAAGTTAGTTTTTAGGATTATACCCTTTATTCACTTAAATAATCAGGTTGGCTTAAGAAGAAAAAAAAGTGCCATTTTGAAAAAACAAACAAAACAAATAATTTCCTACGAGCCACACTGGATCTTCTTAAGAAGGACCCTCACCAGGGAGAGCTTGGAAGGAGTGTAATGGGTGGGAGGTGCCTGTAACTCGATTGTCTGAGATCTCACTAGCCAGGTGGTGTAGCCTTAGTAGCACATACTTTTTCTTTTCCTTCCTCCGCCCTGTCATTCCATTCCAGACAACCAGCCTGTGTGCACTGGCACTGGTGCAGGCTGCACGGCCACTGGCCGCCGGCTGGCATGGTTCATTCTGGGCTGTGTGCTCCTAGCGTGCCAGCTCAGTTGAGAGACGGTTCCTTCTTTGCTTACGTCCCCTCGTTTAGTTTGCTTTTTATTGCTGTCTCTAGCTTACGTGGTGTCTACCGCTTTCCCAGAGATAGGGTGCTCACGTCTGGCTCAGGAGCACACCTGCCCGCGGGAACGGACACAGCTGTTACAGTGGTGGTCAGCAAGGCTTCTTCATGGGTCTCACTATGGTTTGCATTAGGAGAAGTGTTCAAGTCCGCTTTTCTCAGTAATCGTTTCATTTTCATTCAAGCGCAATTAAATTGGTAACGGCTAAGGCTTATTAAAGGCCACATGAAATGTCAGCTCAGATGGAGAGAAAGGGCCGATCTCCCGTAAGCAGTTCTGCCGTGACCGACGGGAAGCACCCGGGTGCTGTCTTCCGCTGGATGAGCATGGTGGTAGCCAGTCTCCGTCGGCCCGTTTGTCCGGGCACAGAGACTTCACGTGGTGTGTAGCTAGGCGGGGCGAGGGTGGCGCTAGCACTTTGAGGGCTTCATAATATGCTGCTTTTAAAAGGGAAACAGATAAAGTTAATTGATACCCAGCACCTCTCCAAAGAGGTGGGGGTCACTCTGAATAACCAGCCAGGTGATGTTTTTTCTACCACTTCAAGTTTTATGCAAACATTTTGTTAAAATGCTATAATGGTGATGATACACATCTTTTTAGTAAGAAGATACATTTCAAAACTATTTTCTGTAAAAATGAGAAGAATTTGCTTTGTGTAATGTAAAACTGGCTTTAAGAAAGCACTGTGGCAAATTTACTAAAGTTCAAAATTATACAAATATGTTAATAGGTATATGTGCAACTAGATATGGACAACAATTGTATTTTTTTAAATAAATATTTTTAACGAAATGCCTTTCTGACTTGGTCCGTCATTTCTCACTGACACTGAGCATCACGGCAAGGTGGGGTCCTGACCCAGGCTGAACGTGTGAGCATTCAGTCCTCCCGGCTCCCCCAGAAGCCTGCCCTTCAGCTGTTGGGTGAGCGTGTCCTCAGGGCGAGGTACACAGGCGGGTGGGCGTGGTGGTGAAGTGGGAAGACTCGGGAACAACTTTAAGCATAAGAAGAAAACCAGGTTAACTGCCGACTGGCTGGAGGAATTTTTTATCCCGTGGAACCTCTCTACTGTGGTTTAAAATATTTCATTTATGTTCTTAAAGGGGCATTTTAAAATTTAATTATCAAAACAGAACTCCAGCCCTCGTAAGAAGCAACTTTTACATCTTTTGACTCGGCTCCGTTTCTTCCTGGAGCTGTTGAGGTAAGAACCTGGGGACTTGGGTTTGTTCAGCGAACGAAATCCTGCCTTTTCAGAACCAGGTTGTGACAAGTTGACTTCATGGTAGTGAATTTGGTTTTTGGAGGGTTTAGCAGGAAGCTCTTAACCCACTTCGAGTGTGCGCCTGCCATCTGCTGGGGCCTATATAACTGATCTATAAGAAAGGGCCTCATCCCACCAACTCCTGGGACAGAGGTATCCCACCAATTGTATCCATCTTATCTCCAGAAGTATTTTTTCATCCCATTAAAAAAAAAGGTCTTACATTGCTACCCCCACCCCCCAATAGTTTCAGCAACAACAAAAAATCAAAGCAGAGAATAATTAGGTCTTGAAAGGGTTGAAGCGAGGCTCCTGGGTACAAAGTCACATTCTGTTTCATCTTGCGCTGGGAAGAGAGCGAGCAAGGCATTGTTTAGTGGGTGGCCCGTGGCACTTTGCACCACTAATGATGCTTTTAAAACAGCTCATCCTCTCACATGCCTGCTCAACAATTCTAATCGTCTCCCATCACTGCGCAAAGTCCGCACCCGCCGGGCCTTTCCTGATCCCTCGTTCCCACTCGTCCTGCTTCCTGCCACCACCACCCCCTTTGTCACCCATTGAAGCCACACCAGCCTGAAGCCTGTTCCTCAGAATGTCATTCAGTGCTGTCGAGCCTGGCCAAATCCTGCCACATCATCGACCTGCAGTGACAGCCTCTGGGGCTTTTCTCCAAGGCTGTGGTCTCTACAGAGGTGCCCCTCCAGAGGCTTCCTCCTCTGGGCTGCCTGGCGGGGTTCAGACGGCCATCCTTGGACTGCCAAGGCACTGTGTTCTTCAAGTTCACATGCATATTCTAACCAGGACCCACGGCGTTTGGGTTTTGGGCTTTTTGTCCACTGCCCAGTAGGACCTACCCGGGTACTAAATGGATGGCTTCCCTGCAGTGCCCTGCAAGTTTCTGGGCAAATGTCTCCTCAGACCTCACAGGGCGTCTCTAATATAAGACTGGCCTCTCCCTGCCTGCGCTTCGATGTACTGACAGCCACACACACAGGTGCTGAGTAAAACTGAAGAAATGAATGCCTCTTGTCTAAAGACTTGGCTGTGTCACTATGTCTGCCTTGAATCCAGTGCGCCGAGAAGTTAGCTTCTCACCCCCTAGCAGAGGGGCATTTCTTGTGAGCGCACGGAATGTCAAAGTGAGGGCGCGGGGTGGGGAACCCTACCTGTTCTGCGGTCGATTTTGAAGTATGATCTAAGAAGCCTTTGACTTCCTGCAGGCAAGGGGCATGGTGCTCTCCACCCCTGGCTGCTTGACTTCGAGAGCATCAGTCTGAACCTGTAGTGTGGGAGATCGGCCTTGCCATGGGGCAGTGCAGTCATTGGTCTCCGAGTTTGTAAAAAGACATTGGTCTTCCAAAATGAAAACGCTGCCCTTGAGCCGATGCCGGCTCCAGAGACCCTGCTGATAGACAGGGTGGACCTGCTCCTGTGGGCTTCCAAGCCTGCTGACCTTGCTGTGAGCAGCCCGGTGTACAAGTGTCACCTTGCCTTCTGTCCTCGCCAATGAATTAGGACTCCCTGAGCCACGGCTACTGCTTCCTCTTCCAAAATCTGTTTAAAGAGAATCCTTGAGCATCCACGAGAGGAAAAGAGCTGGCTGCTGCTTGCTAAACACTTCGACACCCACTACAGTGATCAGTGGCGTTGTACATGTTTGGCATCACCTCTGGATAGGCAGATTACTTCCTTTCCCCGTGCCCGCTCCCCGGAAGAACAGCTTTATGTGAAAGCTGGCAGATAGAGCAGGACCTAAGCTAGCACACTGAGCCCTGGAACAGAGCTGAGGGTTCAAAATGGCAGGCCACGGTCCCCAGCCAAATGGACTCCATTTCCCAGCAACCTTGCAGTTACGTGCCTAAAGGCCTGCTGGGACAAGTATTTGCCACTAAGCCTCAAGTATGCTGGCTTTTTAAAATACCAGATCTACTTAGTAAATTTCTAAGACACTCCAACCACCATTATTATAATGTAGTCACCCGGCTTACCATGAACAACTACATTTAGCAAGAAATGTATACTATCCTGTTAGACCTTGAATTGTCACCTGCGGTGCCGTTCCCCGCAGCCGCCTCGCGGACCAGCGTGGCGAGAATGTAACTGCTTGAATAGCCCTCCCCTTCAGCCAGTCCACTGCTTGGAACTACAAAAATCCTGGAATATCTGTGTCCTGGGTCGAGAGTGTTTTCAGGGTGGTAACCCCTCTTGATTCAGCTGTTTAAATAAAGGCTTTCATTATTAATAAAGTGGTGTGGCTGATCTTGCCTGGTTCAACAATCAGGGAAAATCTTAACACTTTACAGATCTTAAACTCGTCTACAGCATTTCGCTCCAAGGCTCACCATCTTCAAAGAACAATTTCCGTAAGAAAACTCATCAGCTAAAAAAGCCTACCCAGGATGCCAGCAGGCCTTTGTAGGCACTTGCCCCAGGCCTGGGCAGGGCTGAGCAGCAGCGGGGCCCAGGCAGGAGGCACAGCACTGATGCCCCTCAGTACACCATGGCAGCTGAAGCTGGGTGGGTGAGCAGAACTGGTGGACCCTCCAGGGTCAGTGCTGGAAGAGGGGTGCTCACCAGGCGTGTGCTTGTGCATTTGTTATGGGCTTTCTTTGTTCTCTTCCGCATCTTGTCCATCACCACGCCTGGCCCTACCATGCCAGGAGGCATACCACTGGCATGTGGTGGGTAGGGTCCCGAGGGTTGGCATCCTGGATACCTTGGTTGTAGCACAGGTTGAGGAGGTCCACCTGGGGGGAAAGCTGGATTCCCCTGGGGAACTCTTGGGGGAATTGGAGAGGGGCTTGGTGGCAAGGCAGAATTAGCAGGTGGTGGGTGGACAGGGTACATGATGTTGGGGGATATGGCTTTGGCCCCAGCTGCCCATCATTGGCATCCCACATGTTCCAAGTGTCCCCCCAAGTCTTCACCCCCGTGTCTGGGCTGGATTCATCCTTCTGTCCAGTCTCCCAGGCATGGTACTTGTACATATTGACAGATCGAGTTAAAACTACTCAGCTCCCCAGCTTTCAAAAGATCGATTTGACATAAAATCTATGTACCACATGCACACGCGCTCTAAGCTGCTCAGAAGAAAGAGTAACAGTTGCTTATAAGAAGGTTTTTTAAGTTGCTGACATTTACGAAGTGTCTTCTGTATTGGGCGTGTAGTAAACGCCTCCCTCATACACACCTGTCCATTGTCCTTCCTTCCTTTGAGGTTGGGCCAGGTGCTGTCACCTCAGGGGGAAGACGTGTGGCTGGAAGGAGCTCACAGGTAGGACAGGGGACGCCAGCTCTTGAACCAGGTCTTCTGCCACGGAGGTGGAGCTGATTAACTTTACATCACCTACCTCTCCGCTGGGCACCCTGAGTCCATTCCGACGCATGAGATGGAGTAGAGTACCCCACAGGGTTTTCTGGGCAGTGATCCATACAGAAGCAGGTGGCCTGGCCTGCTGCAGAGCCGCTGGGCGGGTTTGGACTGCTAACCTTTTGACTCACAAAAGAGTGCTTAGCCATTGTACCACCAGGGCTCCTTATGAGGCTGACAGATGGAGGAAAAGTGTGAGGCGTGTGACCCACAACACTGAAGACCGATGACTGAGAATCATGACCCACTTTAATTGGTATATTTGTACATGTACATTTGTATATGCATAAAGTGCAGGTAAACCAGTAACAGACTCAAACAGCCCCCACAGTGGCTAGTTCATCACGTGCATAAGTCCCGGGCCTCCCTTCTCAGAACACGTGTGTGCATTCCCTCCATGTGTCCCCACGGGCTTCCCGGTGGCCCAGGAGGCGGAAGTCCTGGACAGGCCCTGCCTGCAGTACACCGCACAGCTGGAAGTCATCAGCCGTCCTGCTTCTTGCTAAACCTTGAGACATATAAAGAAGGTGGTGGTTTTTTTTCTCTATGAAGGATGCAGAGTTGAAATGAGATCTTCTTGGGAATTCTACGCTTTGTAGGGTAGTCAACCTGAGCTGGGAAAAAAAATCCCTGAGAACATCCATTCTCCCTGACAACTTCTGGATCTATTCACATCCATGATTAGCAGTGATAAGCTGGTAAATGTTTATCAGCTATCCCAAACCCCGTTGCTATCAAATCAAATTCCAACTCACGGGACCCTAGATGACAGAGTGGAATTGCCCCAGGAGGTTTCCCAGGCTGAAATCTCTATGTCTGCAGACTACCACATCTTCCTGCAGCTCGGCAGCTGGTGGGTTTGAACTGCCGGCTTTTCAGTGAACAGCCGAGCACTTAACCACTAGGGCTCCAGGGGGAGGGGAGAAAAGCCAAGATCTGTAGCTTTGGCCAATGTCTGCTGCAACGATTCCACCGTGGCGGGTTTCAAGCTGCCGAAGTAGCACACCATCATACGGCATTTCCACCATTCAGACAGGACAGACGCAGAGACCCTCCAGAGCATCCAAATGCAGGTAATCGAATAATTAGGAAGTGGTGAGCTTTGAGTAAGGCTCACCTTTGTTTGTAACACCACTCATCCACAAGAGGGCTTCAAAAACAGTGTCCAATTCCATTCCCTCTTCACTCCCTTCTCCCCACGACCTTTCGGAAGCCCCCTCGGGATGCTAGGCGCCTGAAGTTTAACCTTCAACGAATGGCCCTGTTTCACGGCCGCCGGCTCTCTGAAAACCAGCTCTCAGGAGTAGGTCCGAGTAGCAGCAGCACACCTCTCGGCACCAGCGGGTCAAAGAGAGCAAGGGACATGGTTTCCTTTGGAGTGTTTGTTTTGGAGGCTGGGGGATCAGACTTGAGACAGGGAACCAGTAAAAAGCACAGACGCCCCTTGAGCGTGCCCGCGAGGAAGAGCGTGGGTTTATTGTGAAGGCTGTCTACGCAGAGCAGTGATCATTGAGTGAGCTTGACAGTGTTCACCTGTTTCCTCCAAATTCAACGAGGCGTGATGAGGGCAAGCCCAGGGCACTGTCCCGGGTGGAGCGGCAGTCGGGGTGAAGTGCATGGCTGCCTTCTTTCCCCGGCCAGGTAGTATCCCGAGAGTCTGCGCCAGGGCAGAGGAAGGTGCTTGAATCGAAGGGTAAACTAATGATTTGCCTGGGTGGGGGTGGTGAGGGGTCGGGGTGGGGGTGAGGGGGCGTGTCCTAGGCCCCAGGGCTCAATCTGTCTTTTCTACTCAGGCATTCCTGGAGAGGCGCTGAACAAAGATGGCTGAGAGATGGCTTTCACCTCTGCCCCTGGTTTCCTCGCCGCTGTGGCCCGGGGTGGGGCTCAAGGGCAGCAGGTCTTCATGTGTCTTCCTCCCCGAGCTTGACCTCTCTCTGGTAGCACGGGGGGCTCTCCATCTGGAGAGGTTTGTCTTGGGTGGGAGCTGAGAGAGAGAAGAGATAGCATGTTCAGCGGCAAGAACCACTCAGGCTTCTGGTTTCTCGGCCATTCGGTGGCCCTGTAGGGAGCCCCGTGAAATAAACATTTCCTTGCATTTTGCTTGGAACACCATGTGTGGTGGGCTGGGACCCACAGCGTCCCTCCCCCGCCACCTGCAGACCTGCCAGTTCTGACCGAAGTGTTGGGGGAGGCCATTGTGCGAGACAATGTCGTGAGCTTGGATATCACGTTTCTTTTGTCTTTCAAGAATCAGGACCCTTGTGTGCTGCTCTTGGGTGACTTCCAGTGGGTTCTGGCTCATTGTGAGCCCAGGAGACAGAGGGAAACTCCCCCATTGGGGTTTCTGGGCTGTCCTCTCTGGGTGGGTTTGAACTGCCAACCTATCAGTCCACAGCCGAGGCCCCACTGCGGTGCTGGGTTCGCTGTTTGGTCCATGTTTACCGAGTGTGTGCCCTTCGCGGAGGTGCTGAGTCCCGGGTTAGATCCTCCACCCCCGCTGCCATCATGGGCATGCAGGTGGGGGGATGTACTTTTGAGCCCGGCTCCCTCTGGACCTTGAAACTGAGGGATGGGAGGGTTGGCATGCCTGCAGTCAAACCACAGGCCCCAGGATGCCTGCTCCTTCAGTCCTTCTGTGAGCGTGTGGCCTCTCACAGAGAGGGCAAGGGCTTGCTTGGTCTGGGCTGGCCACGGGAGACAGTCCTCTGGACAGAGGGCAGGCTGGGCTTGGGTTGTGGAAAACCGCTTTGGGACTCCTGCCTGGGTCCCCAGGAGAGAGACTATTCTTAGAAGGTGTCCCTGCCCTGAAGGAGCTTTCTTTTGGGCATTTGGCCCTAAGGGACTTCTTTCTGAAAAGGAGATCTGGACTAGGGTCAACATCCTGAACTGCAGAGAGCAGGCCAGTTGGGCCACTGGGCTGAGTTCCAGCCAGACCAGCTCTGCCTCTCAGCACCCTGAGCAGGCTGCACAGTGAGCCCTGGCCTGATTCGCTGACCTGGTGAGTGCAGGAAGCCAAGGTCACCGTTATGCCCTTCTCTGTCAGAGAGGCGGTGAGTCAGCCTGCCCCGCTCCCACCTGCCTGGAGAGCCCAGAGCAGTAGCGGCCGGCGGGGCAGGAAGAGGGGAAAAGGAAACGGTGGGAAAATAAACATTTCCTTGCATTTTACTTGGAACAAAGCACCATGTGTGGCGGGCTGGGACCCATAAGTACTCCCACCCACCCCCGCATTTTCCTGTTCTTGTGCTTTTCCCTCACCTGATGGGAGTCCAGGGTGCATCCTGTGGAAAAGCAGGAGCAAGATGTAGAAGGCAAAAGCCAAGCAGCCGAAGATGGCGCCGCAGACCAGGAAACTGTAGCTGCCCTGAGCCTGGAAGACCTGCCGAGGGGGGCAAGGAGACAGCGCTGGACTTCCCCTGCACTCTGCGTGGCGGGGTGCTTTCGGGCAAGTGGAGGCCCGGCACCAATAGCATCGTGGGGAGGAGGGTGGTCTCTGCCCCATTCATGGTTAGAGCTCCAGGTCTCATCCAAAGAGCCTGGTGGCACAGGGGGTTGTGGGCTGGGCTGCTAGCCACAAGGCCAGCAGCTCCATGGGAGCAGCAGGAGCCTGCTCCTGTGAGGATGTACAGTCATGAGCACCCAGGGAGCAGTCCCGCTCTGGCCTGCGGGGGCGCTGTGGGTTGGACTTGATGGACAGTCCACAAAGCCTAACCAGGCCTGTGCGGAGGGTAACTGCGCGTACACCTACACACACATTCAAGTTTTGATTGTGGGAGGCTGAGAACGCCCACCACCCCACTCGAGCAGTCAGGCACAATTTCATCGGGGCCCCTCACTCCTCTCTGACTACATGACATTGATGCAGAGCCCAGACATCATATGGCTTCAAGGCAGAGGCCGTTATAAGACAGCGAGTTTTTTGTACCCATCTGGGGGTGGGGGGTGGGGGTGCCGCTCCAGGTGGGGAAGGAGGAGGCCTTTTATCCCCATGGAGAGTGACAGCTCAGACACTCACAGGGGGCAGTGCTACTCTGTCGACTCGCTGGCAGGGGCTGGGGGTCAATAAAGGAGGCACAGGTGTGTTAGGGAGGACGTGTGAGAGGTGCGCCTTGGTCACGGCAGGGGTTGGGCAGGAAAGCCGGACCTGTGCAGGTCTAAGAAGGGACAAGAAGCCCTGCTGTGGCTCAAATGCTTCTCGGGGTTAAGAACCAAGGAGCACCCCCAGGCCCCTCTGGGCCCATGCCCAGGCAGGCTTTCGATGGACCACCGACCCCTCACTTGGTCCCACACTGAAGCGGTCACAGGAACCACGGGCACAGTGGGCCCTGCTTGCCCAGTGGGAGCCCCTCTCCCCTGCTCTGCAGCCTGCTCTCCTCGCCTCCCCCCAG